CCCGTGCGGTTTAGGCTCCCCGCGCTTGTGGTGCACTTGCGCGCTATCGCGCGCACTTTCTGCCGCCCGATCTCCTCGCGTGCGTGTAGCCGCGCGCCCAGCTTTTCTATGCAAGCAAGGACTCCGCCCGCGTGCATGTCACCCGCACTTCCATCGCGCCCAGCGTCTCTGCTGTCCCACCCCAGCGCGTCTCGGCCACCTTCGCGCATGTTGCGCACATCCAGTGCCCATGCTCGCCCATGTACGCCCAACGCCCGCGCATCACCACCCGATGCGCGCCTCTCGCCTATTCGCCTATTGGCCATGCCCGACCAATCTTCACATTCTCCGGGCTCGATTACCACTTCCGTATCATTAATGTGGTACTAGGGACAGGATATCCGGTACTAACTCTCCATAATGTGGTACTGACTTACACTATGACTGGTACCACTTTTTGTAAATGTTGAGCAGAATTGAAATAATTAAATTTTCTTCAAAAAAGAAGGTATTATTCGATTGAAATCAAGTACCACGCAGAATAAGATGCGGTACCATATTTCCCAAAACCGGTACTATTGTAAAAAATGCAAAATCTTTAATCCTTCATGTCTACCATGACACGTAGATCGTTCACACGTGATTTGGATGAAAAAAGTGGAATTAAAAACATATAGATAGAATTTGAAATAGTCATGTATGATGATTTCTATTAGATGAAGTGTGTCATTCAATGAAACTACGTCTAGTAGTATTGTTTTCTCATTAGTGAATCGAGTTTATGACCAATTTGTGATTAAGATCAATCAAAAACATTTAAAATCTTATATAAACTAATGCCAGAGTGATCATGAGTCGTATAAACATCATTTGCGATTGAAATTTGGTCTTTTTATGTGTTCATTACAAGTGGTACTAGGGACAGGATATCTGGTACTAACTCTCCATAATATGGTACTGACTTACACTATGACTGGTACTACTTTTTGTAAATGTTGAGCAAAATTAAAATAATCAAATTTTCTTAAAAAAAAAGTAGGTATTATTCGATCGAAATCAGGTACCACGCAGAATAAAATGTGGTACCAAATTTCCCAGAACTGGTACTATTATCAAAAACGCAAAATCTTTAATCCTTCATGTCTACCATGACACGTGGATCGTTCACACGTGATTTGGATGAAAAAAGTGGAATTGAAAACATATAGATAGAATTTGAAATAGTCATGTATGATGATTTCTATGAGATGAAGTGTGTCATTCAATGAAATGAAGTCTAGTAGTATTGTTTTCTCATTAGTGTATCGAGTTTATGACCAATTTGCATTTAAACTCAATCAAGAACATTTAAAATCTTATATACACTAATTCTAGAGTGATCATGGGTCGTATAAACATCATTTGCAACCGAAATTCGGGCTTCTTATTTGTTCATTACAAGTGGTACTAGGGACAAGATATCGGGTACTAACTCTCCATAATGTGGTACTGACTTACACAGTATGACTGATACTACTTTTTGTAAATATTGACCACAATTGAAATAATCACTTTTTCTTCACAAAAGTAGGTACTAATCTATCAAAAGCAGGTACCACGTAGAATAAGATGCGGTACTATTTTGTCCAAAACTAGTACTATTTTTAGAATATGATGAAGAGTATCTATTAGTAGTATTTTTTTATTAGTGTGTCGAGTTCATAACCAATTTGCGATTAAACTCAATTAAATATTTTAAATCTCATAGAAACTAATGTGAGAGTGATTATGGGTCATTTAAACATTATTTGAGACCAAAACTCAGTTTTTTGTACGTTCGTTACAAGCGGTACTGAAGACACAGTATCCGATACTAAAACACCATAAAACTGATGCTAATGTGAACAAAATAGGTACTACTACGAATAGAAACTAGCATCAGTTTAAAAACACAACTTCCTTAAATGAGTACAAATTACTGGAAAATGAGTACTTTTACAACAAAAATCTGGTACTAATATTAAGAAAACAAGTATCATTAGGAATCAAATAAAAAAATCCAAAACAACATCCATTAAACTACTTTGTCCACAAACCATCATCCACAAAATTACAATCATTCATCCCAATCTCCGCCCAGCCGCACTACCCTAGATGTGTGTCTTCTCGCCGGTGACTTCTCTTGGCCAGTCAAACTGCCATTTAGTCATCTTCTTTTAATATTATGTCCTCCATTAGTGGCAGATTCGTGATCTCAAAGCTCGCACCGGCGCCCGTCCTCCGCTCAGAGCTCTAATCTCGCACCGGCGCTCAAAGATTAAAGCTCGCACCGGCGCACCGACATGGGCTACCCTAAAAAATTGAAATAAAAGGTTTGTAAAAATAAGAAAAATCAAGATAAAGTTGCAACAAGTATTATTCTTTTTTTTTTCTTGATTCTGTGCTTTTTTGAACTACAGACAAAGAAAATCGAGAAGGGTTATGAAACTCATTATATACCAGGTTTATAAACATGATATTAAGGCTAAAAAACTCATAAAAATCGCAGCATAAAAATAACTCGCTTAAGCCACCAAAAGAGGCTCGATTCTAGGTGATTTTTCTCTCGATTATCAATAACGCAAGAGTCTTAATTTTCTCAACTTATACCTGGTATATAACATCATATAATCTCATATTTTAGAGGTTTAAACCTCAGAAATGAAACACCTCAATCACATTTTTCGAAACCTGGCAAGGCTCCGAACAAGCAATATATATCCCGATTTTGATAAAAATTAAAAACCACTTATCCGAACCCTTCTTAAACATCAAAATATGTATTTTCAGAGGCTAATATGGTGTCCATACGAGAGTTTAACATCAATCAATATAATTCTGAAATTAAAAGTCTTTTATCACGAGCATAAAAAAGAAAATGTGCGTCTCATCGTCATGAACCCTAAGCCTTAAATTAATCCTTCATATTAAACTCTTAAATAAATGAAGAAGGTAACGTCGTATACCTCATTCGAGAATTTAATGAGACGGCTAAAAAAGATAGGATAGAAGGCCTCGGCTCTCGGTTATTCTCTTTCTCGGCTCGCTGCTGTGATTCACGGCAATGAGGGGCTGTCCGAGTGACTCGCTGCTGCTCGAGTGAAATAGAAAGGCCCGCTACTGCTATTGTAGTGGTGAACAACATTGTTCGAGATTAGTATCAATTTCCCTATCAATCCCAACTTCACAATCATTTAACTCTCCAAATCCATCTACACAACCAAAAAAATAAAATAAAATAAAAAATAAAAATTCAGCACCATTTTTTTTGGTACAAAAAATTCAGCAACATTAAATCCAACAAACAAAAAAGGATTATTTTCATTTTTTTCTGTCAATCCCAAATTTACAAACATTTAACTCTCCAAATATACCTACACAACTAAAATAAAAACTCACCATCACAAAATCCAGCAAAAAAATGACTTAGCTTTGGAATTGGGAAGGGTTTTAAGAGAAATAAAATTACAACAATGTAAACCACTAGGCTCAACAACTCAAATAAAAACTCACCATCACAAAATCCAGCAAAAAAATGACTTACCTTTGGAATTGAGAAGGGTTTTAAGAGAAATAAAATTACAACAATGTAAACCACTAGGCTCAAATAATTCGAGAAATAAAGAAAGAGAAATGAAAATTGAAGAACTTTTACAGTTTTATTCACTGTCACCATGGTGGGAAGGTGAGACACAGTTTCGCAGCCGAACGGTTGGCTCGGTGACGGGAGCTGCCCAATGACGGTGGGCCCGCGGGAGCTCCGGCGATTGGCCATGCGATGGGGATCACCGTTGTCCTGTGCACAACGGGAGATCGTAGATTGAAGACGGATTCATTTTTTTTTTTCAGGTTTTAGATTTGTGGAGAGAGAGAAAGTATAGATGGAGGAGAAGACATTTTTTCAATTTTTTATGTTTTGCAATAAAATTAGATGGTAAATAATAATGAGTATATATATATGGGTAGTTGGGTGGAAAGAGAAAGTTTATATTGGGGAGTGCAGTGGAAAAAAAAAGTCTTAGGGACTGAGCAAGAAGATGAATAAGGGAAGAGGGATTTAAGTGGAATTTTCCGAAATTATAGATGAATAATATGAATAATAAAAAAAAAAATTAAACCATGAAGTGAAAGGAAATAGAATAACACATAATGCAAAAAGTTTAATGATAAAAGGAAAGAAAATAATATATCATATTTGGTAATTAAACGTTGCCTAAAACCAGACTTAATATTGAATTAACTTATGATGATAGATTCAATCTTATTTTGAATTTAAATAACAAAATAATCCCCCTTATATATTAATCCAGAACGCGCTGAGACTACGTGGCTGCTTTTGGTGCTTTGAAATCCTATGTGGCAAAATTATATGTTTCGTAATTAGACTTTGGTAAATTTTAATTTAATTCCAAACCTAAAATAATTAGGGTCGGATTACCATAAATTTGTTGATTATTTATGGTCATGTTACATGTATTAATTACATTTTAATATCATTCCTTATTATAACTATTGAATTGTATATATATTTTAAAAATTAATAACTTTTGTATTTTTTATCAGTTTTACATATGTAATATATCAAATTAATCTTCTTTTGATGAGCTGTTAAACACCAAGTCAAACCTTCACTGCCACCTCAACCTTTGCTTTCCACCTCACAGCATAATACTGTGGCCCCATGCAGCTCACAAAGTGAAGAAAGAGATGAAGCCACGTGTAAATGATCCAAGGGTGGTTAGCATAGGTTATTGATAGTAAGAGAGAGATTGTGTCTGTCATGCATGTATAAATGCAAGCTGTAAAACCCTAGCCGTAATTAATATTCCGTATATCATATTTGCTCTTAGCTGAAAATGGTGAAAGTAAGCCTTCTTGCTCTTGTCTTGTCAATCATGATTTGCTTGTTTTGTTTCATGGTATCAGAGCGGGTGTAACAACCCGTGACTGATCCATTTTTCGAGATAATAAAGGGACCTCTTTCTCATTATGGCTGATTCTAGCCACTCAACAACTGGATCTGGAAGCCATGGCCAAAATAATCAAGGCAGCAACTCATCTTCACTTGTTTTCCCTCAAAGCCAGTTAATATCCACCAAACTTGATGAAGGAAATTTTTTTATCTGGAAGCAGCAGGTGTTAACCACCATAAGAGGGTACGGGTTGGAACAATACATCAGCCGTGAAGCATCTCCTCCTTCCCAGTACACCATAGATCCAGATTCACATCAATCAGTCATCAATGGTGATTTCCTTCTTTGGCAAAGACAAGACCAGTTGCTTGCATCATGGCTTCTATCCTCCCTCAGTGAAGGGATCTTGATTCAAACTGTTGGGCTAAACACCGCTAGAGAGATCTGGCACTTTCTTGAAACCAGTTTTTCAAGCCAGACCACAGCCAAGTTGATGCAGTATAAGATCCAACTGCAAGGTCTGAAAAAGAACAACTTAACCATGTCTCAATATTTAAATCAGATGAAAGTTTGCTTTGATTATCTTGCCTCAGCTGGCCAACCGGTTAAAGAAGGAGACAAAATTATTCACATACTCAGTGGTCTAGGAACTGAATATGATGCAGTGATGGTATCAGTCACTTCAAGAGTTGAACCATACACTGTACCTGAAATACAAGCCTTGCTCTTGAGTTATGAATCTAGGCTGGAATTCAATGCAAGATTGACATCTAATGTCTATGTTGAAGGGTCACAGCCCTCAGTCAACACAGCTGTCCAAGCCTCTCAAAAGAAAATTTTTTCAAATGACCAATCCAAAGGAGGCTTCAGAGGATCACCTAACAATAGAGGAGGTAGATCAGGTGGTAGAAGCTATAGAGGTAGAGGAGGCAGGTTTCAAGGAAGTAGGCCAATCTGTCAAGTTTGCAAAGTGGCAGGTCACACAGCTGATAGGTGCTGGTACAGATTTGATCAGACCTACACTCCACAGCAACAACAGCACAACAACAACACTCAGGCCAACAGAAACCCCTCTCGCAACTTAACTCAGTATGCCAACTCCTCAGCTGCTTCTGACTTTGGAAATGAAGGCATATGGTACCCTGACTCTGGTGCCTCAGCTCATGTGACCAATGAGCTAGCTAACATGAATCTAGCATCAGAGTATAGTGGCACAAGCAGACTTCAAGTTGGAAATGGAGCAAGAGTCCCTATAAACCATATTGGTAATGGATTTCTTAAATCTTTAAGCAATAACAAAGCTTTTCTACTTAAAGAACTGCTGCATGTCCCTAACATAACAAAGAATCTAATCAGTGTTTCAAAATTTGCTCTTGACAATAATGATTTTTTTGAATTCCATCCTTCCTTTTGTCTTGTCAAGGATCAAATCACTCAAGCCATTCTTCTCAGAGGGAGTGTTAGAGATGGGCTTTACTCCTTCAATCTTCTTCCAGTAACAAGCCTGCAGGCACCAACAAATGATGAACCTTTACTTGGTAGTAATCCATCAGTTAGTTATGTTGCTTTCAATCAAACTCCTAGCCTAGAGCTATGGCATCAAAGATTAGGGCATGCTAGTTTAGACATTGTTCAAAAATCTCTCAAGGCCTGTAATCAACCTTTTATTATTAATGATAATCCTACTTTGTGTGTTTCCTGCTCAGTTTCCAAGAGTCACAGATTACCTTTCTCCTTGTCTGAAACTGTTTATGATTCTCCACTTGATCTCATACACACTGATTTATGGGGACCTGCACCAGTTAAATCAACAAATGGTTATGCATATTATGTTGTCTTTGTTGATCATTATAGTAGATTTGTTTGGTTATATTTGCTTAAAGCTAAAAATGAGGTTCATGCAGCCTTTCTACACTTTAAGAATCTTGTTGAGAATCAGTTGAATATCAAGATTAAAAGGGTCCAATCAGATGGAGGCACAGAATTTAAGACACTCACCAAAGTGTTCCATGACTTTGAACACAGAATCTCATGTCCTTATACACCCCAACAAAATGGGGTGGCTGAAAGGAAGCATAGACATTTGACAGAAATGGGATTGTCTCTCCTTCACCACTCAAACTTACCCTTGAGATTCTGGGATGATGCTTTTGTGACTGCCTCTTACATAATCAACAGAATATCATCTAGAAAACTGAGCTTTGCTTCACCTTTTGAGTTGTTGTTCAAAAGAAAACCAGACTATTCTATGATGAAAGTATTTGGGTGTTTGTGTTACCCTCACATTAGGCCTATTAACAAACACAAGCTGGAATTCAGATCTCAACCTAGTGTGTTTCTGGGCTATAGTCCTCACTATAAAGGGTATAAAGTGTTGCTGCCACCTGGAAGAGTGCTAATGACAAGAAATGTGGTGTTTGATGAAAGTGTTTTTCCTCAGAAAGACAAAGATAATCAAAGGAGAAATACACCTCAAACAAACAGTCCAGTAACCCTACCTGCCCTAGAAAAACTTTTTCAAAGAAGTTCTCAGCAACATCAAAGCCAAGGAAACAATGAACCTGTGCATAATCCTCCTGACAATACTGCTACTCCAACTCAAGACAGATTAGACCAAAGTGAACAAGGTTCTTCTGAGAGGAGTTCAAGTAATTTTACCATTCCTTTGTTTGTTGATCTACCTATCTCACCACAACAGCAACAGCAATCTACTCAACAGGATGGAGATCAGAATCCCAGAAATCTTCATCCAATGACTACAAGAGCTAAGGCTGGTATTTATAAACCAAAGGTGTACAATGTGGATGCAGAAGATAGAGAGCCAGTCAATGCTATGGAGGCACTACAAAACAAAAGGTGGAAAAAGGCAATGGAAGAGGAATATAATGCCTTGATGAAGAACAAGACCTGGGATCTCACTATTTTGCCAGAAGGAAAGAACTTAGTGGGAAACAAATGGATTTTTAAAGTCAAAAGAAATCCTGATGGGTCTGTGTTGAGATATAAAGCAAGATTGGTTGCTCAAGGCTTTTTCCAAGCACCTGGCTTTGATTTCTTTGACACTTTCAGTCCAGTAGTGAAGCCAACCACCATCAGAGTTGTCATGACTATTGCTACTTTCTACTCTTGGCCAATACTTCATCTTGATGTGGACAATGCTTTTCTAAATGGTGAGCTGGAAGAAGATATCTACATGAGACAGCCTTATGGGTTTGAAAAGGAAGGTGATCATCTGGTGTGTAAACTGTCCAAAGCCCTATATGGGCTGAAACAAGCCTCAAGGACATGGTTTACTAAGATAAAATCAGTATTGATGAGGTTGAACTTCAAAAACTCAAGGGCTGACACTTCACTGTTTGTTCTCAATGAGAAAGGTGAAATGACATACTTGCTAATCTATGTAGATGACATACTTGTCACTGGTTCCAATCCTCAAGCAACAAACAGAGTGATTAGCAAACTCAAAGAAACATTCTCCTTAAAGAATTTGGGAGAGGTTCAACACTTCTTGGGCATAGAAGTCAGTAAAACTTCTCTTGGCCTGCACTTGAGTCAATCTGGATATATCAAACAACTGTTGAGCAAGGTTAACATGGCAGAGGCCAAGGGATGTCCAACTCCAATGGTTTCCTCCTTGCACTTATCTAAGTATATGGAGAATCTGGTGTAAATGGAACTCTTTACAGGAGTGTAGTAGGAGCCTTGCAATATGCAACAATTACAAGGCCTGAAATCAGCTTCTCAGTCAATAAGGTGAGTCAGTTTATGTCTAACCCTTTGACAACTCATTGGAAGGCTGTGAAAAGAATTGGTATTTAGCTGGGACATCAGATTATGGTCTGCACATCACTAAGTCAAGGCATCTGAACTTAACAGGCTTTTCAGATTCTGATTGGGCAGGTGATTGTGATGATAGAAAGTCAATGACTAGATCTTGTGTTTTTCTTGGTGGTAATCTGATATCATGGGCTGCAAAGAAGCAAAACTCCATATCTAGATCCAGTACAGAATCAGAATATAGGAGCCTTGCACATAATGTAGCAGAGATTACTTGGCTGCAATCACTTATGAATGAGTTGAACATAAAAGGCAGCTCAATTCCTATTGTATGTGTAGACAACCTCAGCACCATTTACCTAGCAACAAATCCCATATTGCATGCAAGAACCAAGCACATAGAGCTTGACATTCATTTTGTGAGGGAAAAGATAGAAGCTAAAACTGTTGCTGTGAATCATGTGCCATCTTATGACCAGGTAGCTGACATAATGACAAAGCCATTAAGTCTTCAATCCTTTGCTCGTCTAAGGAACAGAATGCAAGTTGTTTCCATCAGCTCGCTCGAATTGAGGGGGCGTGTTAAACACCAAGTCAAACCTTCACTACCACCTCAACCTTTACTTTCCACCTCACAGCATAATACTGTGGCCCCATGCAGCTCAGAAAGTGAAGAAAGAGATGAAGCCACGTGTAAATGATCCAAGGGTGGTTAGCATAGGTTATTGATAGTAAGAGAGAGATTGTGTATGTCATGCATGTATAAAAATGCAAGCTGTAAAACCCTAGCCGTAATCAATGTTTCTGCATATCATATTTACTCTTAGCTGAAAATGGTGAAAGTAAGCCTTCTTGCTCTTGTCTTGTCAATCATGATTTGCTTGTTTTGTTTCAGTGATGTGTATTATATATATACAATTTTTTTAACAAATAATATGTGCTTTATAAAAATAATAATAATAATTTCACAAGATTTTAAACGTAAAATTTGGTTTTTAATCAAAATAGAAAAATCATGGTAAGTTGTATTGAAATGTGTTATGAGATAAAACAATTAACTAAAATAATTAAATAAAATAATTGATGGAAATAGAATGCATTAATTACATTTGACTTTTCTTATTATTAATTCTAGTAAATAGAATGTCTTTTTATATAAGTATAGATTTTGCCAATTTATTCACGCGTCAAATTTATTCCTTTTTTTAGGGAATCAAAGCCCATACAATATGTAATTAATTTACGGAACAATATGCAAATAAATCCATATAGATGCATTTACTTTTTTTTTTACGAATTCAATTTATTTAATTAATTTAATTATTTCATTTACGAAAATGGTCACTGGGCAAGAGATTCTAAATTCCATATTGCAGAGATTCTAATCGGAAAAAAAATCTATTATATATAATAGAAAGTTTGTTAAGTTAATATTTATAGAGATTCTAATGGAAAAAAAATGTCTATTCCATATTTATAGAGATTCTAATCGGAAAAAACATCTATTCCATATTACAATATGTAATTAATGAAAGTTTGTTAAGTTATTAATTTTAGACAATAATTAATGAATTTGGCGGAAAAAGATTACTAAAAGTGAATTAAGTTAATCCTTATTATATATTAATAGATTTTAAATATATTTTAGAAGTTAATTTTTATATTTATATAATACATCAAATAAATCATCTCTTTATTAATTTCGTTTGACATCTTATTCTACAAAAAAGTAAATAAATAATTATATAGTTATAAATTAAAATTAAACCATCTATTAATTTTAGTTGAAAAAATAAAATTATTTATCGAAAAAATAAATTTAACTACAAAGTAGTTATATAATATAAATTAAAAAAATATTATAACATAAAATAATTAAGTAGTACATGTATTTGAATTGTTTTAAATATAAATAATAATAACAATATATTTAAAAAAACATTTAAAATTCAAAAACATACTTTTTATTACTTATAAATTTATGTATACATTTTCTACAAGAAATCATATAATACACATATGTTGTATTAATATTTTTAAATTTAAATATATTTTTATAACAAATGTCTGTATAAAACATATGTATGTATTGTACATTAATACAATACTAAATATGTA